ATTGATAGCGTGGTGACAAGTAACAGTGTGAGGTGAAGCTGAGACGCTTGCGCCGTGAGTGGCGGCTATGGTGTTTTGAGGGAGTGTCAAAAATATTGTGGTCATTCTCCATACAAAGTGGAGGATGAGTTGATGAGAGTATGACAAGGATCTGGGTTTATTATCTCTCTCTCTTTTTTTTTTCTCTATATATATATATATATATATATATATATATATATATATATATAATATATATATAATATATATATATATATATATATATATATATATATATATATATATATATATATTTATATATATATATACGTATATATATATATATATTTATTATTTATTATATATTTATTTTTTTTTTTGTGTCAAAATAAAACTCACTAAACAATCTTAGTCAATTTCGTCTCGCAATTAATCATTTGGTAATGTGCGGTATGTGTAACAAAAAGGCAGAAGTCTTCATTACTTGTTAAATATTTTGCACTCGTGCATAAAGTAGATTAATGACTAAACACATATATGTGTGTGTGTGTGTGTGTGTTTGTGTGAAACCAACTAACTCTTGGTGACCCAAATGGCTCTTACATCAAGTCAGTACATCCCCTCCCCCACATTCCCCTCCTCTATCTTCCCTCTTCCCTTCCCCCCCCGCGCTCCCTCTTTACCTCTTCCCTCTCTCCTCCCTTCATCTTCATCCTTTTCCCTTACCTCCATCCTTCCCTCCTTCTCCTCTTCCTCCCCTCCCCTCATTCATCCCTCTTTCCCTACCCTCCATCCTTTCTTTTCTCCTCCATCCTTCTTGTCCTTCCGCTCTCCCTCCTTCCCTTCCTGTCTCTTTACCCTCTCTCCTCTTACATCCCTCTTTCCATATTTCCCTCCCTCTTTCCTTCCCTCACTCCTTCCGTCTCTCACTTCCTCTCTTAGTCCATTCCTCTACTCTTCCTCCCCTTGGGTATGACTCAAGTGTTCAGGGGGTAACATCGCGTGGTCATAATTTCAGTAAGTTTTTGATGTTTTCAAAATAAGAACTTCCGTGAATATTGGAGTAATTATGTAAATAAACAAGAAATAAATTTCACTTAAAATATGATCAGTATTAACTGGATAGGACCTGACCTAACCTAACCTGAAATAAACTAACCTAACCTAACCTAACCTGAAATAAACTAACCTAACCTAACCTAACCTAGCCTAAAATAGTCTAACCTAATCTAACCAAACATAATCTACTAGAACTTAAACTAACATAACCTAACCAAACCTAACCAAACCTGATAAAACTTAACCTAGTTTAGCCTACCCTAATTTATTCATAAATAACCAACGTAAATTAAATTACCTTAAACTAACCTAACCTAACCTAACCTAACCTAACATAACATAACATAACAGAACCTAAACTTACCTAACCTAACATAACCAAACACAAATTAAATTAACCTAACCTAACCTGACTTAGCTTAAGGTAATTTAGCCCATCCTAACATAATCTAACGTAACTAAAGCAAACCTACACCTAACCTAATCCTACCAAGTTTTACCTACTCATTCCTAACCTGTAATAACAATATAGTATTATATAAAATTGCAGCCCATTTTACACACACACACACACACACACCCCTCCCAGTGTTCAACCATATGAAATCGCCAACAACCTCCTGAAATTTAAATCCAAACGTTCCATGACCCCAATTGACCTCCCAATCAAAATATACAAGGAGTTTGCAGTCGAACTTGCCACCCCCTCTGTTCTATTATTAATGCATCCCTCAGACAAAGCAAATGCCTTAATGAATGGAAAACCGCATTTGTCACCCCCGTCCCCAAAGTCACCACCCCACAGTCCCCTAACGACCTCAGGCCAGTTGCCATTCCCCATACCCAGTCTACTTTGTGAGGACTTTGTTTTAGTGGGCATTGCCAGTATCTATCAGTCAATTGATCCACAGCAATTTGGCAATATGAGGACCTCCTCTACATCACACTGCTTGGTGAGCTTTCTGGATTTTCTGCACAAAAGTTGCAGAAACGTAAGACATCACTGGCCGTTGCCCTGGTGGACTTCAGGAAGGCCGTTGACCTTGTTGATCACTGCACTGTTATCAACAAAGGCTATTACTAGAGCTGCCCACCAACCTGATCTCATGGCTCACTGATTTCTTGAGTGGACGTCGCCAGGCAGTGAGGTATCAGGGCTTGGTCTACACATTCCAACACCTCACACGGTGTTCCGAGGAGACAGATGGGACCACTGTCTTCCTCATCTTGATCAACGACGCTCTATCGGACACTCCTCACAGGTGGGTACGTGGATGACTGCACTGGGGGGTTTCAGTGGACAACCGCGCACCAGACTACTCATCGCTACAAGGCACCTGGACGGCTACAGGCGTGGACTACAGAGAACAAGGTCACCATCAACCACACCAAAACCGTAGTCATGCACATCAATACCGCCACCACTCCAATGCAAGCCCAGCAGTCAGATGGGTGCCCATCCTCTCAACTGGTGCAGTCTGCAAACTCCTGGGTGTAACCTAGACAACAAACTTGACTGAAGGCTGCCTGACTGTGTTCAGTCAAGGCAGCCTCATCTATCTCTACATGCTACGACGACTTAGGTCACTTGGGACACCCATGCCAGAGCTGAGGACCATCTACAACCTTTATTCTCCCCAAAACTGACGTATGCGTTACCAGCTTGGTCGTCTTCTCTCAACTCCACCCAACAACGTCAGCTAGAGAAGGTACAGAAAAGGGCCTGCAGAATCATGCTCGGCACAGAATACTCCGGCTACACCAACGCTCTCTCCACCCTGGAAATGCCATCCCTCAGTGACCTCCACCACTAAGCACTGGAAAGGTTTGGCAGTGGACTACTGCACCACCCTCGTCATCGACACCTCCTGCCACCTGCAGCCCCCCACCCGACTCGCGCAGTCCGCCACTACAACAAAATTCAGCCCATAAGAGCCCGCACCGATAGATATAAGAACAGCACCATCCCATCTATTATTAAAATAATAAACAACTCCTGATTTATGTATTGTACAGCCCTGTTAATGTATTCAATGCATATTATATAATTATGTCTAAATCAAATGTAAGTCTGTATATTTTCAGCCACCGGCTGCAACTCTATTAATAAACCGTTTATTATTATTATTATTATTATTATTATTATTATTATTTTTATTATTATTATTATTATTACACACACTTAGGGTCCGGACAAGAGTCCATTAAGAAAAAAGTCACCAAGACAAAAGCCTGTCAGTTAAAGTGCAAAAAATGTTAGGTTAGGTTAGGTTATGTTAAGTAGTGCAGTCTTTTGATCTATGTAATATTTTACATGTCAGAGAAGTGTTTATAAACTGTACAAAATAAGGAATGAAAATAATAATTTAAAAAGTTATTTGTATTTTTAAGTCCTTAGGGTCTTTTTACCAGGACTTCTGTCCCAGGGGCTGTTATCCGAGGAGGCTATTGTCCTAGGGGAAAGGTCCGAGGAGCTTTTGTCCGGTGGGCTTTTGTCCCAGGGTGTATTTATCTTAAGGGGCTTTTGTCCTATACACACACACACACATGGGACTTATCTTTTCTGTGAAAAAAAAATGTCTAAACTCAATTAATAAAAAAGAAATTCTAAATAAATATTAGTTATCTTTGAAGATATTACTTTAGAATTATAGGCCTTTCGTGAATAAATCTTCGGGAATCAAGAGCCTCATGGCATATACGTTTGAATATATATTTTCCCATACTATATCCCCTACCATTGATTTCTTACCCGCGAGCAGCAGTAAATATGAGTAATAAATGCTTACTAGTGTATTCTGTTTCCGAAATCTTGGTTAGTTTGTGAGTTAGGTGGTTTAAAATTCAAGCTATAACTGTGAGGGATACAGATTATTGAGTAATCATTACGTGTATTTGAAGAAGGATATTAGCTTCATCATATAAATCTATTCATCAATATATTTCTTGTTACAATGTCACGTGCCGGATGATGTTCCATAACAGTATTACTTCTTCTATCCCTAATGGTCCTAATGGATTTGATGGTCCTCATCGGACTGGTGGTGATCCTCGGCCTTGTGGTGGTCCTCGGTGTAATAGTGGTCTTCGGCCTGGTGGTGGTAGTCGGTCTGGTGGTGGTCCTTGGTCTAGTGGTGGTCCTCGGTGTAATTGTGATTTTCGGCCTGGTGGAACTCGTCAGTTTGGTGATTGTCCTCGGTCTAGTGGTGGTCCTCGGTGTAATAGTGGTCTTCGGCCTGGTGGTGGCAGTCGGTCTGGTGGTGGTCCTTGGTCTAATGGTAGTCCTCGGTGTAATTGTGGTCCTCGGCCTGGTGGTGGTCCTCAGTCTGGTGGTGATCCTCGGTTTTATGGTGGTCCTCGGTCTTGTGGTAGTCCTCGGTCTTGTGGTAGTCCTGGGAAATATGGTGGACCTCCTTGGCTTGATGGTGTTCCTCCTCGGTCTGGTGGTGGTCCTCATCGGTCTAGTGTTGATCCTAAGCCTGGTGGTGATCCTCGGTCTAATATTGTCCTCAATTTAATGGTGGTACTCGGACTGGTGGTGGTCCTCGATCTGGTGGTGGTCCTCGATCTGGTGATGGTCCTCCGGACTGGTGGTGGTCTTCGATCTGGTGGTGGTCCTCGAGTCTAGTGGTGGTCCTCGGTCTGGTGGTGGTCCTCGTTCTGGTGGTGGCCCTCGGACTGGTGGTGGTCCTCGGTCTGGTGGTGGTCCTCGGACTGGTGGTGGTCCTCGGTCTGGTGGTGGTACTCGGTCTGCTGAAGGTGCTCGGACTGGTGGTGGTCCTCGGACTGATGATGGTCCTTGGTCTGCTGATGGTCCTCGGACTGGTGGTGATCTTCAGACTAGTAGTGGTCCTCGGTCTGGTGGTGGTCCTCGGTCTGGTGGTGGTCCTCGGTCTGGTGATGGTCCTCGGACTGGTGGTTGTCCTCGGACTGGTGGTGGTCCTCTGTCAGGGTGGTGGTCCTCAGTCTGGTGGTGGTCCTCGGACTGGTGATGGTCCTCGGTCTGGTGGTGGTCCTCGATCTGGTGGTGGTCCTCGGTCTGGTGATGGTTCTCGGTCTGGTGGTGGTTCTCGGTCTGGTGGTGGTCCTCGGTCTGGTGGTGGTCCTCGGTCTGGTGGTGGTCCTCGGACTGGTGATGGTCCTCCGGTCTGGTGGTGGTCCTCGATCTGGTGGTGGTCCTCTGTCAGGTGGTGGTCCTCTGTCTGGTGGTGGTCCTCAGACTGGTGATGGTCCTCGGTCTGGTGGTGGTCCTCGTCTGGTGGTGGGTCCTTGGACTGGTGGTGGTCCTCTGTCTGGTGGTGGTCCTCGGTCTGGTGGTGGTTCTCGATCTGATGGTGGTCCTCAACTATTGGTGGTCCTCGGTCTGGTGGTGGTCCTCGGTCTGGTGGTGGTCCTCGGACTGGTGGTGGTTCTCAGTCTGGTGGTGGTCCTCGGACTGGTGGTGGTCCTCGGTCTGGTGATGGTCCTCAGTCTGCTGAAGGTCCTCGGACTGGTGGTGAGTCCTCGGACTGGTGATGGTCCTCGGTCTGCTGATGGTCCTCCTTGACTGGTGGTGGTCCTCGGACTAGTAGTGGTACTCGGTCTGGTGTTGGTCCTCGGTCTGATGGTGGTTCTCAGCTTGGTGGTGGTCCTCAAGTGTTGGTGGACCTCGTCTGGTGGTGGTCCTCGGTTTTGTGGTGGTCCTCAGTCTGGTGGTGGTCCTCGGTCTGGTGGTGGTCCTCGGACTTGTGGTCCTCGGACTGGTGGTGGTCCTCGGTCTGGTGGTGGTCCTCGGTGGTGGTGGTCCCCAGGTCTGGTAGTGGTCCTCAGGTGGTGGTGGTTCCCGGGTCTGGTGGTGGTCCTCCGTCTGATGGTGGTCCCTGGTCAGATGGTGGTTCCCGGGCCTGGTGGTGGTCCCCAGGTCTGGTGGTGGTCCTCCGTCTGATGGTGGTCCCTGGTCTGATGGTGGTTCTCAACTTGGTGGTGGTCCTCGGAGTGTTGGTGGTCCTCGGTCTAGTGGTGGTTCTCTGTCAGGGTGGTGGTCCTCGGTCTGGCGGTGGTCTTCGGACTGGTTGTGGTCCTCGCACTGGTGATGGTCCTCTGTCTGGTGGTGCTGCTCGCACTGGTGGCGGTCCTCTGTCTGGTGGTGGTCCTCGGTCTGGCGGTGGTCTTCGGACTGGTTGTCGTCCTTGCACTGGTGGTGGTCCTCTGTCTGGTGGTTGTCCTCGGTCTGGTGGATGTCCTTGTCCTGGTGGTAGTCCTTGGGTTGGGTGATGATGATGATGGTGATGATAATTCTTATGACGGTGATGATGATATTAACAGTGATGATGATGATGATATTAATAATAATAATAATAATAATAATAATAATAATAATAATAATAATAATAATAATTGTAATAATAATAATAATTATAATAATAATAATAATAATAATAATAATAATAATAATAATAATAATAATAATAATAATAATAATAATAATAATAATAATAATAATAATAATAATAATAATAATTATAATAATAATAGCAATAATAATAATAATAATAATAATAATAATAATAATAATAATAATAATAATAATAATAATAATAATAATAATAATAAAAGTTCTGAAGATAATTTTGATTAATATTACAATAGAGAATTACATCTTGTAACTTCCTAACTCTGCCGTGTTGACTACCACCACAGTAGGTAATTTACAATTGTACAATAAACTCATTTACATTAGATGTAGCAAGTCTTTTCTGAGGGACTTATATAATAAAAATTAGTTGATGTAAAATAATTCTGATTTCATAAGAGAGTAATATCGTTTACCTTTGATACTGTTAATATTAATTATTTAGATACTACTACTATTACTTTGTTTTTTAAATGGCCTCAAACCTCCCCCAATAGCAATATCTTTGCCACCATTTTATTACCTTAATACTGCTACTACTCACCCAATAGTAACACCTTCGCCGTCATTTTATTACCTTAAAATTATATATCCTAATACATAGGTAGCTACCCTAGCTGTGTTGAGTTAGTTGAGCCCCAGATCCATGCGGCATTCAGTGACTGTTGCCTCATAGTCAATATCTGCAACTGTTGTCGGCTTTGGGGCTGATGCTCTCGCTCCCCTGAGGCAGAGCAAAGCAGACATAAGGAGAGAGAAGGACAGTCGATATCTCATTAAGGCTGTAACATAACTTCTGGGCTGCTGCTTCTGTTCGGATAGCACCTCCGCGAGTCTGGCGTAGGAACATCTTGCACTTGGTCCCATACCACTAGAGGTTGTGAACACCAGATGAGTGAAGCTGCCTTGATCAACGTTCTCAATTCTCTCCCCTTATGCCCTTATCTTGTCGTTCTCGTTCCTCCTGCGTGCAGCATCGAGAGCTAAGTCACGGTGACATGCGGCCATGGGATCAAAAATCCTAATGTCGAAGAAGGCTCGCTGTCTCTGCGTCCATAATCCTCGAGCACTGACGTCAACACGGGTCTCGTTGGATGTGTTTGAAGTCCTATGTTGGAAATTCTTACCGTCCAATGGAAGGAGGGTCGGTTCTACCCTGACATCACGACAGATTTCTTTCAACATATTTGCTGTGAGATCCCTTACTTCGTCATGCCTCATGCATTTGAAGCCCTCTTTCTTGCACACCATGGCGTGATCGACGTCATAGGAAGAGCCACACACGCATTGGGAGGGCAAACCGTACCTTAGAGCAATGGCATCTGTAAATTCTTGTTTATTGAGAGTGAAACCATTTGCCCTTATTGGTTAACCATTTCGAGGCGCCCACCTCCTGTGCTATCGCTTCTTTTTTTTTCAAATTCTCTGGTACTTGCAGCATCAATTGCTGCAACTTATCACGTTGGCCGTGCTGTCGTTCTGGCGTAATGGAAAGTCGAATCTTGTTTACTTCACTGGTATCCACCTCACTTATTGCGATCTTAGCTATTATGTGGTCAGTGAGGGCTGCCGTGAGCTTAACTAAGTTTTGATGTTCGGTGGCAGCAATGTCCTCTGGATTGGTCAATCCCATTCCTCCCAGTCTCGGTGGTAGTGCAAGGAGTGATCTTTCTGCTGGGGTTAAGTGAAGGTGTTTCACTAATTTGGGAGTGAAATTGACAATGATAGCTTCTTCCAGAGGATGGAGGAGGGGTCCGATATCAGGGATAGTGCGCATCAGGTAGTTCCAGCGATGCTCGACTCCATGGGTGAATGCCGCAAAAGCCGCATGTTGCTCTGTGTTAGCAATATCAGACAGAGCTTAGATTTCCCCAACCCACTCATTCACCTTTCCCATTACGTACTCTGTCTTAAAGTCCGTCGTGCCGATTACTGCGCCTAGGTGTGTATGGCCATCCTTTTTATTTTGACCTCACTAACACCGAACACCTCCATTGCCCGTTCATAATGTTCTGGCTTCACAATGAGGAAGAACTTGCTGGCGCTTGGGTGGTACCCTATTTGTGGACCTCGTGATGTTACCAGGTCCCACCACTTTTTGATGTCCTCCACTTTTCCTGCTCCTATAAGGTCGTCAGCATACGCCACTTGCTTGACCTCGGTTGTTTCAAATTATATTGTGTGTTCCCTCAGTTGACTGTGTGATTGTATCACCCCCTAGAGCCTTGTTGTTTACTATATAGAGGTCTGATGGATTCCTATAGGTATTTTCAACATACATTGCAAAACTTGGACACTTGATCTTGATGTTGTGCAGTGCGGCCTTGCGGTTAAGTATGTTGAACGCGTTTGAAGCGTCCTCCAGGAGAACAACCTCACAATCACGCTGCTCAAATATCGTTCTGATGGGGTGAATGGCAGCTTCCCCTCCAGCCTGGTGGCCAGTACAATCTTGCAGGTTCCCTGCTGCTGCCCTGACATAATCGTTTACCACCTCCATTATGCATTTTCCGATGATCCGCCTCAGCACTTCCCTCACCCCTATAGGCCTACATCCTGGATTCTTATCCAGGGAAATGAGGCGGCAGGCAGTCAGAGCATGGATGTTTTGGCAGCACGAAGTTGCTAGCTTTCTTGCAAAGGCGGCAATGGCAGTGCAGAGATCCCTTGCTACGGGGTCAAACTTGTTAGTACTGAGGATGACTCTCCAACCATTTGCTTCCAGACCTGAAGGGCTTGTCCCTCCCTGAGTTTTCAGTGCCTTTTTCCAAACCATTCCTCCTGATATTTTCTCGAACAGGACAGCATTTGGTGGGATGTAGTCACCCTGGAACCTGACGCCTTCGTCTTCACTTGCAGGGTGATGTTTCTCCTTCAGCTGCCTTGATCAACTTTCTAAATTTTCCTTCCGTATGCCCTTATCTTGTCATTCTCGTTCCTCCTGTGTGCAGCGTCGAGAGCTAAGTTACGGTGACATGCGGTCATGGGATAAAAAATCCTGATGTCGATGAAGGCTCGATGTCATCGGTAATGTCTGCATGGGCTTCGTTCGATGTGTTGGAAGTCCTGTGATGGATATTCTTACCGTGAACTACTACTAATACTTTTTTTTTTTGAACATGGCCTCCAGCCTCCCCCAATAGTCACAATTTATAACCTTAAAATTAATAATCCTAATACATAAGTAGCTACCCTAGCTGTGTTGAGTTAGTTGAGCCGCAGATCTGTGCGGCATTCAGTGACTGTTGCCTCATAGTCAATATCTGTGACCGTTGTCGGCTTTAAGGCCGATGTTCTCGTTCCCTGAGGCAGAGCAATGCAGACCTAAGCAGGGGAAGGAGAGTCGACATCTTAACCAGGCTGTAACATAACTTCTGGCCTGCTGCTTCCTTTCAATTAACACTACTATCACTACTACTACTACTACTATTTTTTTAATGTGGTCTCCAGCCTTCCCGAATAGTCACACCTTTGCTACCATTTTATTACCTTAATATTAAATATCATAATACAAAAGTAGCTACCGTAGCTTTGTTGAGTTAGTTAAACCACAAATATTTGCAGCATTCAGTTACTGTTGCCTCGTAGTCAATATTTGCGACTGTTGTTGGTTTTGGGGCCAAAGATTTCGTTTTCCTGAGGCAAAGTAATGCAGAACTAATCAAAGAGAAGGACAGTCGACATCTCAAACAGGCTGCAACGTAACTTCTGGGCTGCTGCTTCCGTTCAAATAAAACCTCCGCGAGTCTGGAGTAGAAGCATCTTGCACTTTGTCCCATCCCTCTACTTCTACTACTACTATTACTATTACTACTACTTATTTTATTTTTAAAATGGCCTCCATCCTCCCCTTATAGCCATACCTTCGCCACCATTTTATTACCTTAAAATTAAATGTCCAAATACATAAGTAGCTATCCTAGGTCCTAGCTGTGTTGAGTTAGTTGAGCTGCAGATCTATGCGGCATTCAGTGACTGTTGCCTCATAGTCAATATCTGCAACTGTTGTCGGCTTTGGGGCCGATGCTCTCGTTCCCCTGAGGCAGAGCAAAGCAGACCTAAGTTGAGAGAAGGACAGTCGACATCTGAAACAGGCTGCAACGTAACTTTTGGGCTGCTGCTTCCGTTCAGATAACACCTCCTCGAGTCTGGAGTAGAAGCATCTTAATGATGGTCCCATCCCAACAGAGGTTGTGAACACTAGAGGAGTGAAGCTGCCTTGATCAACGTTCTGAATTCTCTCCCCGTATTCCCTCATCTTGTCGTTCTCGTTCCTCATTTGTTCAGCATCAAGAGCTAAGTTACGGTAACAAGCGGCCACGGGATAAAAAATCCTGTTGTCGAAGAAAGCTCGCTGTCCCCGCGTCCAGAATCCTTAAGCACTGACGTCCACACGGGCTTCGTTAGATGTGTTTGAAGTCCTGTGTTGGAAGATCTCATCATCCAATGGAAGGAGGGTCGGTTCTACCATGACATCCCGACATATTTCCTTCAACATATTTGGTGTGAGGTCCCTTACCTCGTCATGCCTCATGCATATGAAGCCCTTCTTCTTGCACACCATGGCGTGATCGCCATCATAGGAAGAGCCACACACGCATTGGGAGGGCAAACCTTCTACTGGCCGACCGTACCTTAGAGCAATGGCATCTGTAAATTCTTGTTTATTAAGACTGAAACCATTTGCCCTTATTGGTAACGTAGTTAACCAGTTCGAGGCTCCCACCTCCTGCGCTATAGCTACTTTTTTTTCAAATTTTCTGGTACCTGCAGCAACAGTTGCTGCAACTTATCATTTTGGCAGTGCTGTCGATCTGTCGAAATGGACCTACGAATCTTATTTACTT